CTAGCTCATTTTTGTTCAAGAAAGTATGTTTACCAATTAGTAAGCCTCAAAGCACAGTTGCCACAAGGGATCTTATTGACTTGGAGGCAGCAGTAGCACAGCATACAAGTTTTCATATTGAAAGATTATCGTGGATTTAGGTATCCACAATTCCCAGCAGAGCTGTCCTCTCAATCCGTAATCATTAGCGTAATGCTGTATATTTCCAAATACTTTGTAGCTTCCAGAGCACTCCTACGTATGCAAGCTGAGAATGAAACAGCATCAGTTTCTCATTTTACAGGAAAAATGAGTACAACTGAGGCTTCAGAGAGCAAAACATAATTGTACCTGCATGTGAATCAAATTAAGCATCATCAGTAAAGCCAGAACTAAAGATTTAGTCTTGACTTCTAACTACATGTTCTCATATACTGACGTGATTTTAATTCTTCATGATAAGGGGAACTTTCTATCAAAAGACAATAATTACTTGAACAGCTAGCTTTTTGAAACTTATTTTCTAAGTTCCCTTTGTTTTAGACCTATAGAGTCTGAAGTCCCTAAGATGGGCTTCTAGTTTTGCCTCAGGCAAATCGACTCACTCTTCTGAAATTTTTTTCTGAAATGAGCAATTTTGGATGGTTGATCCTGGGGTCCCTTCCCAATGCTAGGATTCTGTCTTGTGTACTTCTTACAGAAGTTCTCTATGAGGTCATTTTTATACATAAAAGTAAAATCCAAGCCTCCTTAAACAAGTGACAGAGTCCGAGCTATTTTAAGATTTACAAAATGACCCAAAGAACAAAATTTAGAGTAGACACTCACTCTAATGACCGGGCAAATTTTACCTTCACCCTCAAACAGGCAAAGGGATGATAATCCTCTTTCTATTTCAGAAAGACTCCAAGCTAACCAATAAGCAAAAAACGACATCTCGAAGCATGACACCAGGGGAGCATGCTATGGTTTTTGTGGGCTTTTTTTTTTTTTTTTTTTTTGTGACCTTTGAAGAGCACAGCATACACTCCACGAAAGGGAGTGCCTTGGTTCAGGGGGATCTCAGCAAGTCCAAAGGGCTCAATCTGGTGAAGTACTTTCCAACTTTGGGTTTTCACTCAGTAGTTAGTCACAAAGGTGAGGCAATGCGTGGCAACCAGCGTATTTTTAAAATATGATAAATAAATTACAGTAAGTTATCGGGGCACATCACGGAATGCAGCAATATGTTGAGGGTGGCTGGTTACTGAGACGTCTCCCTCAGCCTTGGAGCTGGGACTCTGCAAACCACACATCTGCTGGCTTTAGAGCTGGAGCCCTGCCACATCTGACTTTTCAGAAACACTAAAGGAGGTTGGAAGGCTTCAAGAGGAAGGCAAGACTTATCCTTTCTGTTCTGCTTCCAGTTCTTGTCACTGTCGCCCAGGAATGCATCTTCACCCAGCAGAAGCAGTTGGCACCGATTTGTAATTTCTCCATGTTCCCAGAGCCAGCTTCATCGTACTTCCTGAGGGACGCCAGCTGGAGGGCAGCCCTTTATCCGAAGTGTTATCGGACTGCGTGGTTCTTTCTTGAAGCTTCTGTGTTCTCTTAACTCTAACCTCTTCCTGTAATTCCTTGGTCCTCGGGGCCATTACTAACTCTGCAGCACCCCAGGGTAGCGCTCTGGAGAGAGCTTCTCCTCAAAATGCTTGGTACTGATACACCAGATTGTAAGTTAATTTTATCACTAAGCACCTAGGCTGACTTTCCCAAAAGGAAGTAGTGAGTTGATTTGCAAGCCCTTTATCTCATGGCACAGTCAATAATCTATAGTTCAATTACCTTGATTTACACAGCCTTCATGGTTTCCCCCTTATTAAAGATTTTTTATATTATAGTAATTCCTAAAATACCTTCTGCGGTTTCTGTACCCTAATGGGCTCCTAACTGATACAGAAATTAGGTCTAGGTACATCTTGAGTAGTTTTTCTTTTAATTATATATATACATATGTGCAAAATGGATTATGATACAAAAATTTACCACATATTCAAAAATTGAAAATAAATTAGCCTAACATGTAGATAATAAGAAAAAATATTAACATAAATCCTAGTAACACATGTATCTATCTACATTGCCTTCCTGTGACAATATATTTTAAAAAAAATCAAGAAACTCAAAGAAAAAATGTCAAAAGAATTCCATCAAACAGAAATTACCATCTAAAATTTTTTTAAAGGTAATATGAAATAAGAGCTAGCTTATTCTATTTTTTAAGGCTTGATATGTGGTTTGTTTTAGGTCCTGGGAAAGTCTACTAATTTGTATGAATATGTTCTATGTTAGGACTTGTAATTCTGGTCCTTCTTTCACAAAGTACTTGTCTCTGCCAACCATATTTATGAGCCAAGTTACCTGTGTACAGCAAAGGCAGAATCAGACAATAATGAACATCAAATTATTTAAATATTTCCCACCACCACAGTCATAGCTTCTGTTAATAGCTCTCTTACATGTCTGTAAGATGAATACTGTATATGTCTACTTCCCTATTCTTCTACAATGGAAAGAGCACTCACTTAATCCACCCTGGAAAATGAGTTATAGTAGATGTGTGACCTAAAGGCAGAGGAAAACTGGATGATGCATGCTGCAGGCATTTTTCTGACAGCCCAGAATAATAACACACATTTTTGATGCTGGGTGTAAGAGGCAGGTATAGCCTCCCATTTCTGAAATTTTGTCCATCATTCTGATGCTATGAGAATTTTCTTACTGTACTTTCTGGAAAAATCTGAACACGGACTTTTTTAAGTTACATTATAAAGATGAGTTTATACTGTGTCATTAAAGATATTTTATTTTAAAATATTTATAGTATTGTGAAATTTTTAATTACTTTGTTTTGATTATTTTTGATGTCACCTCCATAATAATTTTCCTCTTGGTTTAAATGGGTAAATATATTAGTCATTCCAAGAAAGTTGAGAAAAATATTTTTAAAACATCTGCTAAAGTCTTAAAAATAATTTAAAATGGAATAAAGACTTGGTATGGTCAACTGTATTAATCAGAGAAAAAAGTTTTTGGAAGCTGTGCTGAGGTTTGTGCAGGCTGGCAAAGAGGAGAAAGGGCTGGAATAAGAGACAGCAGTGTGTTTTTAATTTGAGGTACAGTCTTCAATAAACTAGCTGTGTGACCTTCTGCATACCACCTACCCTCTCTGGATTTCTGGATTTCTGGATTTCTGCCTCGTCAGGTGTGAAGTGAGAGTTTGGTCAAGGTGGTATATCAAGTCCTCCACAGTTATTTCAATCAAATGGTTTCTATGCACACATTTCTAAGTTACGTTATGACTAAACTCATAGCTGAGTGAGGTTTAGACAGCATTAAAAGAAAGAAACCTCCCCCCCACATACAAGTTAATTCTTGTAAATGTCTAGATCTTTTAAGTTTCTTAAGCATTTATTATAACTAGAGGCAGTAGAAGGGAAACTAGTACAAAACTGATAATTGCTTAAGGAAAAACAATTCCCAAGCAAACATTTTATTGACAGGCCCTCTGACTGCCTTACACAGTCCACTGAGGGCTGGCAGACAAAGCTGTTCTCGTTCCATTCAGCTGGTTTTGTCAAAGTGCTTCCTGTTCTGATGATAGACAGCCACATTGTTATGTGAGTGCTAAAGGAACCCACATCCACCCAACCTGGGGACAAAGGGCAAAACCGGCTCCGGTTCTCACCATTCCCCCTTCCCACCACAGAACCAGGGGTGAATTCCAAACCTGGGCATTCCATGAATGTCCACGACTCTCCTGAATCAGCAAAAGTTCTACCAAAATGATTTCCTCTTCCAGGTAGTAAAGTTGTAAGCATAAAAGCCCCCCAACCATTCTGGGTTTTTTTTGTTTTGTTTTTTTCTGGATAAGGAAGTCTAAAAACAAGGACTGTAGGGCTCAACACTAAACATTTTCCATTACATTTATTTACCCCAGTTGAAAATTTCTTCATACGTAGAGTGAAATTCATCCATTTAAATCTATCCAAGTGACTCTGGGCCACGTATTCTTATTGGATGGAAAAGAAATGCAGTCACCAAAGGAAAAGACAAGAGTAAAGAGACTATTTCCTTTAGGAAAACACAATGATGGGAAACACCGCCATAAGACCATTGGCCACAGGCAATCTCGTCGGAAAACACAGCATTTCAAAATAAAAACATTTGAAATTTTCATGTCAATATTTGCAAGATTATCTAGGAAGGCATGCTACTTGGTACATGCACTAGTTTAGAAATATTTTTGTAGCAAATAAAGATAATACTGATTTCACTTTAGAGGTTAGTTCTATAAAGTACTTTTAAAAATAATTTCCCACTTTATACCACATTATCATCATTAATATGAGAAGATAAGTCTTCATGAGTCTTGAATTTAAGCAGCCTAACTTAGTAGTAGTGCCAGTAAGCACTGAAATCACCAGGAAAAAGGTGATGGCAGCCAAGAGGAATTACTCTCACATAGGTGTCCTAGGTCATGCAGGATTACTAGGCAGTAGCAAGTGAAACCCAACTATGAAGGGAGCTGAATTTTCCACCAGCAATTGGTGCTGCTCCCTTAATTACTCTGAAAGACACTAACATAATTTCTACTGGTAAAGATTTTACGATAACACACATTGCAACAACTGTTGTTTTCAAGTTGTGTGATGTGGAAACCTCTAGCGTCTTCCATAACACTGCCTGGGTTCTATAAAGTCCTACTGCAGAACAGTAATAAAGAGCCAGCTATAATGGATATGTGACCTAGCCACACCTTTCACTGGTACAACAAATTATTTCCAAAGGCATTTCAGACATATACCTAAAAATGATTTAGCATAAAGAATGAACTGCAAAACATTTTTATAAAACAAATAAAAATGCACAAATAATTCTCAGGAAGCCTTTATAATTGTTTAAAATACAGTCACATATAAAAATGGGATATAGGCTTACAATTATGTAAGAATTATATAAAGCAATTTGACAGATCCTACCTTTTTCAGGAACCGGACTCCATAGGTAAACACATAGAGATAAAATGAAAATCTCCACCTGTAAGAAGTTAAAAAAAAAGTGAAGACATTCAGTTTATATATTTCACAGTATATCTGAAATACTGGAGGGTGAAAATAAATTAAATTTATTCTTTCCCCTAAACCAAGGATTAAACTTGCTGAGCAATTGCTAGCTGAACACATATACTTGTGTACATGGCTTTCAGCAAATACTTTTAACTACTAATATTAGATATTTCTTTCAGTTACCTAATTTGCCCATTTGTTCACCTTCTCTTTTTGTAACGTGAATTTCTTTTTGTTAATCACTCATGAAGTGATATAGTTCAACAACATGAAGGTATTTGATTATTTGTCTGATTCATATTAATGTCCTGACTTAACTGAAGTTCCTATTTGCTTTAAAAAAATAAGCTTCAAGATTTTTAAATGAGGTAAGGGTTTGTTTTTTTATCAACAACTTCGTGATGCTGCTAAAGGAAGTCATATTGTCAAATTATTAACTGTAAAAATTCTTACACCATTCTAAACTGTTAAGTCTCGGTGGTAGACTTTTACTCTTTTAATAAGGAAAGGTTTTAAGTTTTCATTTTAAATGTAGAAATATTTTAAATATTCTATAATACAAGGTATGTGTGCATATATATATATATTTATTACTAAAAAGTGCTTTACCCTTGTATTCAATTCCCAATTTTAGTTCTTGTACTTTCTTGGGTATGAACAGCTATACTTTGAAGGCTGGATGGGTTTCACTAAAAAGCATTCCTGAGGTCATCTTATTGATGAAACCTTGGAGTATAAACTGTAGATGAATGCAATGAGAACATGACAAGTCAACTTCAGACCATAAGAAAGCAAACTGCTTTTAGTGCTTGTAAGCCACATAAAAGTTTCAAATGAGGAAGCAATGAGAGGTGATTTTAGAAGATGATTCACATTATATAAAAATTATCTGAAATGACAGTTACATTCAGGAAAGTGGAAAGGATAATAGTAGAGGGCTATAAAGTGGGCACAAGTCCCTCAGACTTTCAGACTTTTATAGATAGGTGTATTCCGGACTGACCCAGTCTTCAACATCCTAGAATTCAAGTCAGAACTAACTTTGGAGAAGAACTTTCAACTCCAGGGTTGAGATCATCAACTAATAATTCATAAAACATGAATTTGGGAAGAAACAATAAAAACTGACAGAAGCAGGAATGATTCAACAAAACTTCCAAATAATATAGAAAAGCAATGACTGTAAAGCCTCACACCATACAAAGCCCTATTGTAAGTAAAGAAGGTTCATTTGGGTAGTATCAAAGTAAAAAAAAAAACTCCTTAATTTTTACCCCATCTCCATTTTCAATTTTTGGGTGGTTATGGGTGAGTGTCTGTATGTTTCTTTCTGTTTGGTGCACAATTCTAGATGAGAAGTGAAAACCAGGTCTGGCTCCCATACCTGGTGTGACTTGTGTGGTTACACTGGGCCCCATTTGATTTAATGTTTTTCTGTCACTTCTTGAAATTCTTAATAACTGTTGAACAAGAAGTCCCACATTTTATTTTTCATTGGGCCCTGCAAATTGTATAACTGGTTCTGATTAAGATCACAGACCCTCCTAATTTGGGGCAAATGTGTTGTTATCCCTTGACCTCAGGTCTATCTCTACAAGGAAAAGGCAGGTTTATACTACAAGGACACAAGGATTTGTAGCACAAGTCACTTCTATTTTGCTCTAGTCCATCCCTCTCCCTACCAAATTGAGCCAGCCTTACTTTTCTGGATTTGCTTTACTTTTCTGGCTCTTGGAGGCCATCAAATTTGCAACTTCTTTATTAAATGATTTATCATGGCTGTTTGAACTCAGACTATTGTTAGTAGGCAGTGATCAGGCAGCTTTATATATAATAAAAATTTTATAGAAATCATTGGAATTCCTACCATCACTTATACATGTATATTTTATTTCACCACTAAAGTGACCCAGTTTTCATAAGACATAGGTTCTATTATAGGAACACTGGTGCCTCTACCATTTGAATAACAACTTGTGATGAATATTTACAAGACAGAGTTTATTTCCACAAAATATCTGCAGGAAGCAAAATTTGTGAGCATTGTGCAACATGAAAAAGCAGTTTATTTGTGGAGTCTCATATAGGTTACAGTTTTAAATGCTTGCTGCCAACCCCTGGGATAGCTGCTCCCAAACTTCCATGAAAGTAGCTCTGAAAAGAGAAATAAGAAAAGCTGCATGCAACTAGAAAAAGGAAGACAGCCTATTACTGGGATCAGAGAAGAGTTCTTACAGCAGTAAAATAATAAAATTGCATTTAAAAAATGTTAGTAGAAGTGAGGAGAAAAAGCCATGGATCTTACAGGCAGTAAGAAAATCTTTCTCTGTGTAGCTCCATTTCTCTACTTTCTACCATCTTGCACAGAAATGCAAAATCCACATTAGTCAGAAACCCGGGTTTTTTGAAGCTGCAGGAGAATCAGTTACTGATTACACCTTTTCTTTTAACAATGGGAAAGAAGGGGAGAAAGTACTTTACACCCTGGCAGTTTCAGTTGCATAAAAGCAGATTCAGAGATAAGATGATCTTTAAAAGTGTTGCATTCTGGGGGTTGTAGTTCTTACATAACTCATATATAAAGTAACAGAGAAGGAGGCATTGGAGATGGCTGCTTTATATGAGACTCTCCTAGTCTATTGGAAATGGGTCAGAGTCTACAAACATCAACTCACTACAAGGTCAGAGATTTAAAAGAGGAGTATTACTAACAAACAGGAGGACAGAAAGCAGGACCATGGGCAACCCATGCATCCTCTCTGTGAGCAGGTCTCCATGGATCTTTCAAACATGAGGAATGAAAATAACACCTAAATGTCAGCATGAGTGTACTAAGTAGTATTGCATATGGAAAGTAAAGAGCATGCTGAAGATTCAAAGAATGGTCTCCTGAAGATGACTTCCGACAAGAATCAAAAGTTAGTTTTAGGAAAATATTCGGCACAAGGTGATACACAAATACGTGACTTCTAAAAACAAAATTAGGAAGTTGTATATCAATAAAAGACAGAAGAGTAAGATAAAAAATTACAGGTATAAAAAAGAAGCAATATGTGAATTCCCAAAATAAAGTTCACATGGGGAAGGAGGGAATGAAGACACACTCCGTTGAAATTAAAGCATCGCTATGGAAGGCAAACAGCCCCAGAAGGCCAATAGATAAAGAAACAGCCTAGATCCATGGAACAGAATAAAAGCAAATCTAATTATAATTATTTCTGGGAAAATACATGTGAAAAACTGAAATAGAAGTAATAATAATTTCACATATGAAAACATTTGAACTGGAAAAAGAGGAACTAAACTATATTCCAAACAATACTAACTGAAAGCCACATTCTGCCCAAAATTTTGAATCCTAGGTTAAAAGTAAAATTTAAAAATCTTTCAGTATTCAGGCATAAAAACAAAAACAAGTCAGCATACAAATCAATGAAAACAATTCACGTTCAAAGGAACAAATGTCCAGTTGGTCTTAAATTTTTCCTCTTTATTACCAAATGCTAAAAAAAGAGAAGACTCAATTAAAGAAAGCTATTGCCAGCCAAACTCCCTTCTATTTGGAAAGGAATTATTTGGAGTATTCAAAGGCTCTGAAAATATACTTTAACTTTTACTAAAATGTTACTCAGGCAAATTCTGACACACCAAGATATGAGTAAAAATGAAGAATTCAAAAGGTATAATATTAGAATAAAAAGACTACATATAATACTTAGTAATATAAACAATTGCTCTAAATTTCATTGCCAAATTTAATACTGTAATTCTAGAGCAATAATATTAAATATTTAACAAAGATCTAGGATGAATCCTCAGACTACATCAACTAAGATGAGAGGCATTAAATTTCTTCTTACAAAAGTTATTGATTTGATAACAAGAGAAATATATTTAAGAATGCTTCTATAAAACCTTAAAGATGTCTCTTGATTAGGAACAGCAGATTGAACACACAATTTTCTCTGCACCTTTATGAATATAACACTAAAGCAGCAGAGGAGGGATGTTGTTAAATAAAGCATAAAATCCAAAAGACAGCAAAGCAGGATGGATGGCAGCCACCTTCTGTTGCAGCCTGGAAAGCAAACGGGAAGGGGCGAGGGCTTAGTGAGCAGCACCAGGACCTGAATCCTAAGCTGTCTGTGAAGGATGCTCAGGACCACAGAATCCTAAGAAGACTTCAGTAAAGAAAGGAACCTCTATTGGGAACAGAGACCTAGGGATTATTTTGTCCAAAGCCACACAGTTGGTAAGTGGCAAAATCAGGACAGGAACCTAGCACTGACTCTAGAAGTCACTATTAAATTCTGCAGAATTAGAGCCTCTCCCGTGCCTGGAGAAGGCAGTGTGCACCATAGAATTTGCCTGGGCCTGGAAACCTTTATATACATTGAGTCTGAAAGTCAGAATAGGAAGCAAATAAACACCAGACCCACAGGGTGTACCATGTTTAAGCAACAAGGATGAACAGGGCACTCTGTTAGAAGCCAGAGTGACCAAATGTGTCACTACCTCCAACATCCTACTAACAACTGCTTTCTCTTTGCAAAGTTACTTTATTTTTTTCTTTTTTAAATTGTGCTATGGTGGGATAAAGAGGTGTAGTGTTATTCACTACTGAGAGCTGCCACCTCTTTTTCCGTTCTCTTTTCTGTGCCAAGGAAGGGAGGCAAGAGAGATTTCTCTGTTGCCTTTTCTTCCTTTTTCTGCGCCATGTATTGCATACACTCAGTAAAATGACTTAGCCAGAATCCCATTCAGCACTGTGTTGTGAGTGTATACTGCTAACCCTAGCGGGAAACAGCCCAACAAAAGAAAAGAATTGGTTTTATTGGTGCTTTATTTTAAGTTTGGTACATTTCTGTACCTGTAAGTTAGAAGTATCCAATGCTTCAATTTTTATTTTCTTAATCCAGAGATTTCAACACTTAGGCAGGGACCTGGGAATCATCTGTCATCTTGTTTTAC